GGTAAGCAAAATTATTTACCTTGTATCAGTGGTTTAATTCATTTAAATTATTATGAGGAAGTAATTATAACTTGAAGAGAGAGATATATATATTTGAATTAATATATATAACTCATATTTATCTCTTCATGAAATGTGTCACTTACCATTTCGACCTTCTCTCTCTACCTGAACACCAAGAATCATGTCTACCATAATACTTACATCATTTAAGTTAACAAGGCGCTTTTAATTCATTAAAGTTAATAAGGGGACACAGTACGATTATGCTTTTAAGTCAAGAATGGGAAGATATTTATGTTAACGAGAAGCATATGTTTGGGATAGTGAAAAAATATGTAACTTTTAGTTGGTTTATATCTTTTACAGGTGATGGTGCAAATTTCTCCCCATTATATGCTAATGAAATAAAAAAAATATATTAAAATTTACAGGTACCGATGTGACGGGCCTTGGAAGAACAAGACTTAGAGGGGAGGATTTATGATGTTTAGAGCGTGTTGTTACACCAACATTAATAATATATGATGTTTCATTCATTAAAAAGAGAAATGTTTAATAAAAATTTTTAAGACATGATGAAGTTTTAAATCAATCAAACCTTACCATGAAAAAAAGTATTGAGGTAGAATACAAATGTTATATCTCATTTAAGTTAATTTCATGGTGTGTCAGCCCTGTGACCTCACCAAATTTTAGAACAAGAGGACACAGTTGGTCTGGAAAGAGATGATTATCTTAAATCTACCTTGGGTGTGAACACCATTTCATGGCCTCGCTGGAGGGGATTGTACAAAAATCATGATGCAATACTTTGGGGTAAGGCATATAAGCTCGAGGAGTCTCTCAGAGCGAGGAATGTGTTTCTATTCGGAAATCGAGTAAATATTTCTACCAATGAGTGTGTTTACCAACAAGAAAATAATGTTCGATTTTACGATAAAGTTTTCAAAACTATTTTGAAAATATCCAAAAATGGAGTCGTTCAAAGTAATTCTGGAGTTCTCTAATGTATTTTGGAAGTGTTCCAATATATTTTTGAATGTGCTCCAACGTAATTTGGAAATGTTCTAAATGTTATCCCAATCAATTTTGTCCATATTACCGAAATTGAGGGAATGTGGCTAAAAATGTGATTTATATCATATCTTAGTTGGATGTGTTCGTGATATATTTATAAAAAAATGAGTGTTTTCTAAAAATTTGTGACATGTTGTGAATATTACTGAGTCAAAAATGCGGGTGACTTTTTTTTTTCTGATGAAATAGATGAACTGAGAAAAATTGTGGGGGTTATGAGTATAATATTAACTATGTGGAGTTGAGGAGATAGATTTTATTAGAAATTTAGTGTAGGGAGGAAATGTGGGGATTTCTATAAAATGGATATTAGCTGGTAGTGTTGATCTTAGTTTGGGTAGCATTCAGTGGTGTTTTGGGGTGTTCGAATGATATTTTTGGAGTATTCAATGGTAATTGATGGTGTTTTTTGTAGTGTTCAAAGTAAAGTGAGTTGTCTGTGTGTGTTAGGTGGTTATAGAATTTTGTGAATATCTTGGTTACAGTGATTTTAGTGGATTTGAGATGGGTGATGAGATGCATTTGTGGATGTGAAATGTGATTTTTGTGTGTTTGTTCTGAAGAGGTGTGATGGGAAACGGGTGAGTGGATGTGAAGAAATGTGAGTGAGATGGAGAGGGGTATGGGGAGGGATGTATTAGAAATTTAATGAAATATGGGGGGATTTTACTGAAAATAAAGGTAATGTGTGAATATTTTAAAAGAATTTATAGAATTGAAAAGTTATGATTTATTGGAAAAGAATGGAGGGTGTAGAAACATATCTCAGTAGTTGGGTAGTGAGATTAGTTGTTGTGAGTATAATATCAATTTATGTGGATACAAGGAGATGGGTATGGAGAGGAATTTATTAGAATTTTAGTAATGTAGGGAGGAATGTGCATTACATTTAAGATTCAATTAAAAGAAGGGGAAAAATTTGTATCGAATAAATTGTGAATAAAATGGTAAGTGATGAGGGATGTGGGTATTGTTGTCGAACTAGATATATCGAAAAAAAGATGTTATAAGTGGGTTGTTGTTGTGACTTTTTCTGATGAAATAGTTAAAACGAGAAAAATGTCTAGACTTGTGTTGTATTTTGTAAAGAAATTGTGGGTTGTGGGTGTTGTGGGATGTGGGTGATGTGGGATGTGGGTGTTGTGGGTTGTGGGCGTTGTTGTCGAACTAGAGATACCGAAAAGACGTTATAAGTGGGTTGTTGTGACTTTTTCTGATGAAATTAGTTAAAACGAGAAAAATGTGGGGGTGGGTGTTGTGGGTTGTGGGTGTTTGGGTTGTGGGTGTTGTTGTCGAACTAGAGTTGCTGAAAAGTGTTTATAAGTTGTGGGTTGTTGTGACTTTTTTTCTGATGAAATTAGTTAAAACGAGAAAAATTGTGGGGTGTGGGTGATGTGGGTTGTGGGTGATGTGGGATGTGGGTGTTGTGGGTGTTGTTGTCGAACTAGAGATATCGAAAAAAAGACTTGATTCTGTTGTAAGTGTTCGTGTGTGTTTGGTTTGTGTTCATGTTTTTTGCGTTCATGTTATATCTTAGTTGGAGGAGAGTGTACTCATAGAAATTGATAATCGTCTTGATTATAGTGATTTGAGGGGATTTGTGTGAAAAATGGGTGTTAGTCTGTTATGTTGATCTTAGTTTATGGTGATTTTGGTGGTGTTTTGACTGAATTCAGTGGTGTATTAGTAGTACACAAATGGTGTTCGAGACTATTCAAAGGTGTTTTTGAAGGTGTCCAAATGATGTGCAAGAGTATTTATGAAGGTGTTCTGGGAGTATTCAGTAGTGATTTGGCTGTGTTCGAATGATGTTTTTGGAGTATTCAAAGGCAATTGATGGTGTTTTTGGTGTTGTTCAAAGTAAAGTGTTTGAGTTAGTTTTTGTGATACTGTTGTAAAAATCTGGAGAATGAGGGAGTAGTATGGGGGATGAGTTGTAATTTAATGAAATATTTAAGTGTAGATAAATTAAAGCTGTCAAATCTTATTTGGAAGTATTCAAAATGTTGTCTTGGAAGTGTTTCAGTGTTGTTTGGAAATGTTCAAAGGTATTTTTGTGAGTATTCAAATGATTTATGAGAGTGTTTTGAAGGTGTTCAAAGTGAGGTGTGTGTGCGTATTAACTTCGTAATATGTAAAATTGTGACTAGTGAATTTATCGAAAAGTGGTTATAAGTGATGTGGTGACTTTTTCTGATGAAATAGTTAAAACGAGAAAAATGTCTAGACTTGTGTTGTATTTTGTGAAGAAATTGTGGATTGTTGTGGGTATTAACGAAAAAAATGTGAAATTATTTGGGTTATCCTGGGTTAAGAGTGAAAATGTTTTCCCTGTGTTGTATATGAAATGTGTAGGGGTAAGTTGACAAGATTCAGCCTGTGTGCGGGGTCATCACGTGACGTCATTGACATAGGGGGAAGTCGACAAGATTCAGCCTGTATGTGTGAGGTCATCGCGTGACGTCACTGACTGCCGAGTAAACACAGGTGGGGTGACGTCACACTTGTTTAGACCTGTAGTAAGAGAGAGCACCATGCCCCATAGGAGGAGTTCATTTGAATGCTTACCCCCAGAGGGGGGAATCCAAAAAAACTTGATCCGAGGAGATGGAGGAGAAAACCTTGATCCAAGGAGATGGAGTCTTGGTATTATCGAGAAAAACTTTGATCCAAGGAGATGGAGTCTCTGTATTATCGAGAAAAGCTTGATCCAAGGAGATGGAGACTTTGATTTCGAGAAAAATTTGATCCGAGGAATTGGAGTCTTTGATATCGAGAAAAACTTGATCCGAGGAGATGGAGACTTTGTATTATCGAGAAAAAAAAAATTTGAAAAAATTTGGGGTGGGGGTGAAAGTGGGAGGGGCAATCCAAAAACTTGATCCAAGGAGATGAAGTCTTTGTATTATCGAGAAAAAAAAAATTGGGGACGGGGGTGAAAGTGGGAGGGGGAACCTCAAAAATTTGACCCGAGGAAGCAGAGTCTTTGTATTATCGAGAGAAAAAAATTGGGGACGGGGGTGAAAGTGGGAGGGGGAACCTCAAAAATTTGACCCGAGGAAGTAGTCTTTGTATTATCGAGAGAAAAAAAATTGGGGTGAAAGTGGGAGTCCATTTTGAATGCTTATACCCAGAGGGGGAATCCAAAAAACTTGATCCGAGGAGATGGAGGAGAAATACTTGGACATAGAGGGTAGAAGTGGATGGTGGGGGAAATCTTTGTATTATTGATATCGAGAAAAACTTGATCCGAGGAGATGGAGACTTTGATTTCGAGAAAAAAAATCGAAAAAATTTGGGGTGTGGGTGAAAGTGGGGGAGAGGGGGAACCTCAAAAATTTGATCCGAGGAGAGCACACGAAAGTTAAAAAAAATTGAAAAAAATCGGAAAAAAATTCGGGGCGCGGGGGCGATCTGGACGACGCTGCAGAAGGCACAGCAGAAGGCATGATCTGGCGCGATGGCCGGGCGCAAGGGGCGGGCTTGGGGGCGCGGGGCGCGGGTGGGGGGTCGTGGGGGCACGGGGCCACGGGTGTGGGGGCACAGGGGTCGTGGGGGCACAGGGGTGTGGGCGTGGGGGCACAGGGGCGTGGGTGGGGGGTCGTGGGTGGGGGGTGTGGGTGGTGGTCATGGGTGGGGTCATGGGTGGGGGTCGTGGGTGGGGTCATGGGTGGGGGTCGTGGGCGGGGTTAAGGTCATTAGCATATAGGTGTGAAAAAGGTCATTAGCATATAGGTGTGAAAAGGAGCCCCCTCAGGAAAGGAGACCACTCAGGAAAAGGAAGCCACTCAGCCGCAGAGACCGCTCAGGAAAAGGAAGCCACTCTGCCGCAGAGACCGCTGAGCCGCCTTCATCACTACTTATATATATATATATATATATAATTGTGTGCCTGAAATAGTCAGGATTATGAAAACAGATTCTGTATTATAATAATTGTATTTAAATAGCTAGATATATAACTTGCACATATACACTGTAAATGTACTTTTTTCCATTTTTTAGTGATATCAGTATTATTGATAAACTTAACTTTCAGAGGAACATGTTAAATTTCACCATTCCCGAGAAAAATTTTTTTGAAAAAGTTTTTAGTTTGTGACTACTCTGATGCATATAAGAACAAAATTGTAAGAAGACGCATAAAACATTTTCATCAAAGAGGCAGAAGGTCTCCCTTATGCCATGGCAGTTTCTCATCTCCGCCTCCAAGGGAGACTACCTCGTGTTTCTTATTCCCTTGTTTCAAAACGTCCCCCCACTTATCTCTGCTCCCCAATATCTATGTTAGGCTAGAAGATTAATATCCTCATTTTTTGATGAGTGAGTTAACAAAGTGATTTTTTCAAACAGTCTTCCATCATCATTTGCTCTTCTTTAAACAATATGTCGCTTGGAAATAGTGAAATCAGTCACTTGTCATTCGTCTAGTAGAAAATCATAATATACCTCTAATGATTAAAAATTATAGTTCATAATATGGCTTTTATCTCTCAAAACTTTACATCTAGATAATAATCATCATTAATAATTTTCATATCACAAGTGGCATTCCACAATTATTAATTTAGGGCCACTGTTGCTCATAATTTACATTAATTAATTACCCTAAACGCTGTATCTCTCACCCTGGCTTCCTCCAACCCCTCCTTAAGCTGTAGATACAGCTACTCGAAAAAGGCACTGTAGCTTCCGTTGACAGAGAACTCACAAGTATGTAGGAGAAACCAGACATCCACCTCATGGTATTATATATACTCCTTCGCTGGTCGAAGGAACACTGCAGAAGGTTCTCCAGGCTCTTAGTCTATCCTCGTATGAGAGATTCCTTATACACATTTGCAACATCTGGCATCTTTACTCTGAAGACGTTTCACCATCCTGTGGTTTTTGTCAAAACAATACAGAAGAATGAACAGGTAGAAGATGAGGTAATCAGTCCCTTAGCCTAGGAGCAGGTATTCAATACCGTTGTCTTGATGAATCTAAAGCACAGGAAGCAAAATGTTTGTTTTTTGCTTAAGTCAGACGAACTGAAGGCACTGTCACAGGCATGCAGGATTTCCCAGTGGCAGTAGGTCATGTCCTCGAGGTGGGCCAGCGGTATTAAGTAGTTGTGGAGATGTCCTCTGTACAAAGATCTCATGATGTTGCTGTGTCTGATAAGGTGTGTAACAGTAGTATATAATACCGACAAGATAATAAATTAGGTACATGTGAATTAAGGATATCTAAATAAATGGTGGCACGATTTGTTGCACAAATTTCTTATTATCAGCATTAATGATGCCAATATGTTTCACACTTGTCTAATTCATTACATACCATTGATTTACATTCCTTATACAGTGGATTAATTTTGTCATCATTCTCTGAGCTACATAATCTGAGTGAGCTCTTACTAGTCATATATAGGGCTGTAAAATAACTTTTGAACTCCCGTTAAGTAAAAGGGCACAGATGCAACTAATGTGTCAATTTACTGTGGCACCGATTCGCTCTGCAAGAGCTTTATCAACGGCTTGACAAATCTCTTAAAGAGTGATACGTTGCCACGATAAAATGTTGCACCCGTGTACTTCTACCTAAGATATTGTCGGTAATTCTACCATTATTACTTTAGGACTCTTGTTACTTATGCTTATTGATATAAATCCCTGTAATAATAACTTAAGAATTGAGGAACATTGCAGAAGGACCACTGCTGTTGTCTTAGCTTCATTTTTCTGCTGACCATGACTAACAAGTCTTTTTCACGTTGTGTGCTCAAGCTCTACATCGCCTAGTTTATAACTATGAGGGTTATTTCATTTCAAAGGATTTGGAATTTACATATGTCCACATTGAACAACATCTACCACTTGTGTTTCTGCATCAAATTTTTGATTGAAGAGGAAGAGCTGGTGTTTATTTTGACGATGTGATTGTTAAATAGTTTGGCCACATTAGATGCCACAGAGCTGACCGGAAAAACGATGAATAAGGTTTAATGAAGTACAACTGGTCGTCAAAGAAAACTAACGACAAAGACGAAAGCTCTTGGAAGGTGTTTTCATTGCCACAACTGACAATCCGCAAAAGTCAGGAAGTTTCAGTGTTTCCAGACATACGGCTAAAAGATTGTTATCCATGTTAGGATCCGCCGTCAAGTGGACACACTATGAGCATGGAGAAGCAGATGTACTGGCCAATGCTAGACAGTTCTTGCTGAAATTCGAATCTCGCTTACATAGTTGTCCTTCATATTTTTTTACAATTTGGTATATCTCCCACCTCACTGAAGTTTCAGATCACTTGCACTGTCTACTGTTTATTAACATGTTTAAGCTTTGTATTAGGACTGTTGAAGCAACTCACAGCGAAACATTTCCTTTAACAAATGCCTTGAACTGCAAGTAGTGTCCTTTTCCACACCATAGCGCCAAGCACAATTTCCACGTGATACACTACCATGTCATTTCTATTATTTTCACAGCACTCCCAGTTCACTTGGAATGTCACATGCACGTGTAGTAATTAATCTATTACTCAAGCTTTATAACATGAGCAAAAAAATGGAGGCTCAGCATATAAAGTCAACTATTAATCATTTCACGAAAGACTGATACAGCTTTGTCAAAATACATTTGTGCAGTTGCGGAGTTCATGCAATGTGATGAATAAAATATATCAAACTCAACTTTCTCACGTATATTACATATGCCAGAAAAGAACGCGAAATCACTGGCATTTAGGGGAAGATAATATTTTATCTCTGTCTGTTGTACACGTCTTCCTACTCCATAGTTAAAAAATCTTGGTAAAAACATATTTGTGAAGATATAGTCATATTTAGGAGGTGAAGGAGTTGCATACAGATGATCAAGGTTGCAGGTATCTGGGAGAGTCATCTTGCGTAAGGCAAAATCTCTTAAAACCTGTTTGTTTTTCAGGTTGCTGCGGAATTCAGTGTCAAACTGCTTAACATATTCCCAGAATATGTCTTTGACATTGTAAGGGGTTGCCATGGTGTGTGATACTGAAAGAGTATGGAAACCCATTGGGTATATTTCAGAGTATCCTTTCATGTAACGGCGAAGGTCAATGGGGTGTAAACTGCTAATATTGTAGATGTCGCGTATAATTCCAGCCTCCCTTACTAGCTCAACCAAAGCAGTGTTCAATACACCAACAAATCCAGAGTTGAAGGTGATTTTTCTATCCTTGCATTTATCACTAAACTTATTAACTTCAGAGAAATCTAGTATAGAATACTGTAAGTGTTCTGTCCTGACATTAGATGAACTTGGAGTACCGAATGCTTCTAAGAGAAGTGGAGTGTGCTTTTTATTTTCTAGCTCATTTAGCATTAATTTTAACTTTTGGGGATCCTTTTCAAGTTCTTCTGTCATTTGTTGAACAATCTTTGATGTATGACTGTGGTCAACAAGTTGTCCAAACTGTTGCTTATCAATAGGGATTTTGCTGATGTAATCCTCCAGAAGCTTCATAAATAACCCAGTAATTGAAAGTAAATCGGGACCATCAACTATTCCATGATGGAAATTAAATAACACTTTGTTTTGATATGGGAACTTTTCTTTCACTTCCGGCCAGAGACAAGAGTAGTCAGATGAGAGTGGCATAAGTCGAACTTGCCACAGTGGTCCTTCACTCAAGTTGAATGGCGTGTTGACCATAGCCTCTCCTTCTTTCAATGAGTCTGGTCCATTGACAACCTGAAGGAAAACACAAACGAGATGATGATTAATTCACAGCTGAAATTGCCTGACATGTAGATAATGGCAGATCATAGGCCTATGAGAGCTTCCCCTTATCACTCTTACCATAAAACTTGTTAATTACTCAAAATATAAATAACCTGAAGAAATTAATTAGTATAACTTCATGCTTATGTCATTTAACCAACATGTGCTGTAAATGGTTCAGATAACCGACAAGTTGAATAATGAGACTTGTACAACATATGGGAATCTTAAATATGGTATTGTTTCTTCAAGCTGTGACTTCTTCAGTACAAAACAAAGAATAAAAATTTTCTCTGTATTAGACAGAAGATGTAGATGAATGAATGGTTCAGAGAACTGACAAGTTGATAAATTAGACACATGTGCAACACTAGAGTGTCTTATTGAGGAAACGTTTCGCACACAGTGGCTTCATCAGTCCAATACAAAGGAGAATGATGACTGATAAAGCCACTGTGTGGCGAAACGTTTCCTCAATAAAGACACTCAAGTGTTGCACATGTGTCTAATTTATAGACTGAAGATGTCACTGACTGGCGAAACGTTTCCACGTTAAACATTCTCAGCTGTCGCACAAGTGTCTTATTATTAACTAAGATGCTTTGATAAACATTAAAACGTTAATTAGATAACATTAAAGCTTGTGGAAAGCTTTAGTTTGTCCTGGAAAACACTAGTTGAGTCCCACCAATTCGTTAAATGAAACTGGTTTATTTTGGTGGATGTAAAAACTGTTATATAAAGCCGAGAAGTGGATGAGTAAAACACATTTAAAAATATTTAAGTGAAATGTTGAAACAGTTTTGATACCCAAGTGTTACACATGTGACTTTCTAGATTTTTTTATATAAAAATTTAGAGTCCGGATTTTTTCGTGAATTTTGTATAGTTTATTAATTTTCTAACTTTTTTTTTGGCGGGGTGAGGAAGGATAAGTATTGTTGTTTATGAGTAACAATATCAACCTGAGTTAACTCAAATTGTCATGTTGACAAGATATTGTTTTCTTTTGAGTCAAATCTCACCAGTATTGATTATCACTGATCATGTCTCGTCATCCTGCGTACTATATTTTCCTTTCACTTTGCATTCTACTAATTATATTTTCCTTTCACTTTGCATTCTACTAATTATATTTTCCTTTCACTTTGCATTCTACTAATTATATTTTCCTTTCACTTTGCATTCTACTAATTACATTTATGTGTTGTAGCAACGTTTCGTTACGATGTTGGAGATCGAAACTTTGACGCAATACAATGTTACATTAGTTGCACATGTGCCCTTTTACCCAACATATTGTAGTATTTCGAAAATTATTTTTAGTCTCTTCAAGCAATGTTGAGTTGAATATTTACATCTTTGAATTCTTGGCTCTGAGCGCCTTCTTTATCCTTCCTCTCAATAAACTAACTTTAATAATAAGGTAAAAGGATCCCAATGGAAATAAGTCACCTGTCTGACTTTTTTGGGTTATCCCAGGTTCTCTACACATATGCTGCTATGTATGATAATCTATGTAACTGTATTTGTGTATACCTGAATAAACTTAGTTACCACAGCAGAATTTCAATCATTATTACCTGGAGTATACCTTGAGGGTGTTTCGGGGGTCTACGCCCCCGCGGCCCGGTGCATGACCAGACTTCACGATGGATCTTTTTTTTTTTTTATTTAAAACATGACATTACTAAAATATAATATATAAAACTCATTTAAGGCTATAAATTAACACAATCCTACCTACAGCTAACATTACACACCACACTTACAACTCTGTGTGGGTACACCTCCCCCCTCCCTGCTCCCTCATCCTATCACTTAACCCAAACCTGTTGGAGCTACCCAACAGAATTACATGATATGAACAACACTTTTATATACACATCCCTCGAAATGGTACTTAATAATCGACTACAGACCATGCAATGCATTGCACTGAACATATTATACAGACATATTACCCCCCCCCCGTGGTTATCCAACCACCCCACTATTTACAACCTAACACACTATAAACAATGAATGTTGCCTAATCTAAAGTCACACAACAATGATCAAAACATTAATTTATGTAATTGTCCTAATGGTTCAGTTACATAACAATATGTATTACTCAACAATGGTGATATAGAAAAGTCAAAAGACCATACAAAATGACTACAAAACCATAAGAATAAACTTGTCTCAAATTTACCGACACATGTAAGGCTTTACACATTTAATCATGCAATTCCGGTGTTAAAAACAATAACAAGCATCAACTATGACATTCAAGCTCTATACAGCACTCTATCAGCCCCTCTGGACATAACATAGTGCTATTGACAAACAGTACAATACAACATAAAATACCATGACATAAGTAACACCATAAGACTGTGCCTAGACACACCTAACCACCCAGAAACCTATAACACACTGTTGCCTAACTTTATTTACACTATCTGAAGTACATAAACTCTCTACTCTCAAAACAAAACTGAAAAATTGCAGATTCACCAGTGACGAACATAATGAACAGACATTAATACAAACATATTCACAGCTATCTCTGGAACACCGTGGCATGGTCACAGCCATCAACCTATGCAGTGCAAGGCACCTAGAAAACACGTTGGGAGAAAATACATTGCAATTATTATAGCAAAATCTCAAATTACAATGTCATTACCGTAAATCATTATTACCACCACAAATGTATCATAAGTTTAAAGTCCAGTCACACAAAAAACTGGCCAGCTCACAGGTGTAGCACCGTGTCCACATATTATTCACTCACAACATCACTCATCCAACACTCAGCCAACATTGTTCGCCATCCTTTACCAGGGAGGCGGTACCCTGTTTTCACCAATGACTTCCTACCAGCCAACACTTTCAATCATTACCCTCCCCTCCCTCGTACCTATTACAAGTCTAATAAACTGTAACGTAAGGTTGCCTATTATCCCTCTGAAAATCCTTCACCACCTCTCATAAATTTCCTTATTCTACATACCGTTTATAGACGTTACCGCTAACCTCCTATTCACCTCAGTAACTGTTTCCCCGCAATCCCACACTATTATAGATGTAATCTGCCAGAATGTATCCCACAGCTCTGATTACACGTTCCTCCCACCCCCACGTCGAGAATTTAATGGCTTCTCAATACAGAAATTCCTTTACCTCCTATCCTATTTATCGCCCTATTTAACCACCCCTTGACACATACTTCCCCATGCATACATGGGGGAAATTTCCCTCTAACAGGCGCTACAACGCTCCGGCTAAAAATCTACACAACCTACCTATTGTAACACTTGCTTGGCTCTCGATCCCACGCCATAGCCCTCAAAACAGCTTCACACTCATGCAACTCAACTCCTGTATACATCCGTTGCAATCTGTTATGGATCCTGGCCAACCCCACCCCCCCCCACACTTTCCCTCATCACCTCCCTTTTAATGAAGACACATTTGACCCTCCGCTTTAAGCCCAGCAATCCCAGCCCCCCCCATACTTACAGGTAACATTACCAATCCCTTTTAATCCATCACTGCTCGAACCCACAAGAATTTAAAAAACCTTCTAAGTATGTTCGTTATTGCTGGTCCAGTTAATGGGAACACAGCTGCCACGTGCCATACTTTGCTATACAGTAAGATATTAATAACAATGGCCACGCTGCACAGGGTCAAATGATAAGGTCGCAATGCACCCAAGCGTCCCTGGAATCTTTTCTACCATCTAGCGAGTTTTCCACGCGTGCCACAGTTAGATCGTCTGCATAAATAAGACCACAAATTTTTAACGAATTCACCTTTGCCTCCTCACCACTGCACTACCCAATCAACCCTACCCGCCAAGCTCCTAAACCCATGGACATGGATTTATCTGAATTTACCCTCAATACAGTTGCCCTGCGAACCTTTGTACTACCCGTCTAATGTGTCCATTGACATCCCCATCCCTGTCAGAACAGGTGTATCATCCACATACCAATTAAATGGCCAAACCTCGCAACCTCAACCGGTCCACTACGTGACACATACGCTGCTCCATCAATCTTAAAAAGGGGGCCCCCCCCCCCCCCCCCCCCCACCCCCCCCCGTCTGTACGCAGCAAACATAATTGTGACATAGGAACCCTTGCCTAAGTCCCTACCCATTACAATCTTCCCACCATCGACCATTAATCTGTACCCTCGCCATTGCACCTCATACAACGCCAAACCCAACCCACTATTTCCTTCCCCAAACCCTGACCCCTGAGGAGGCTTTCAATGCTTTCCGATCCACTCTATCATATGCCTCCTAGCCAATCGGAGCGCACCAAACCTCCCTCCCTCCCCCCTTTTGCCTCACGAAATCCTAAGTAACCCATTCCCTCCACCATAGACCTCCCTGGCAAACAAAACTGAGTTTTTGATACTACCTGCCCCACCCCACACTTGACCCGATACCCAAATCTTCGCAAACAATTTATAATTCTGCGCATACAAACGGAGATCGCCCGGTAATCTCGAAGCGTATGCTGGCCCCTTACCCTTCGGTACAATACAACGACAGCCGGTGCCTGCTTTCTCACCCAGTCACTCGCTCACTTCATGCAATTTAATAACCTAACCAGAAAAATGCCTCAATAATTTCCAATGCTGCTGGATAGAAATCTGCAGGAAGTCCATTCATTCCCGGTGCTTTGCACTTTCGCATTCCACTTAAAGCCCTCCATATTTTCCCCTCAGTTATTTCCCACCAGTGCTTCCCTATCACTGTTATTGCAACTGGACATACCACACTCCCACACACCTGTTCTAAAACCCCCATCCTCTACCCTTTCGTTGCAGTACTTCTCATACCACTTCAGCAAAACGCCCCCATTCTTCCATAGGCTTGTATGACCTGCCCCACCCTGTACCATCCTATCGATCTGAACCTCCAACCATGGCAATTGTCATTGCCTGCTTGTCTTTGTTTCTGCCTACGCAATACGCACGATAAAGGTCTATCGCCCCATAACACCTCTACCACCCCCGCCTGTAACCTCTCATCCTGTACCTCATGCAGC